AACACTATCGTTAAGATAATCACAATCATTTTGTAGTTTTTGTTTCTTGATTCTATTTTTGTGATTATGCTCGAAAGTTAAGAAGTTTTCTTTTGGATTATAGTTGTTTTTAGCTTAACTTTTCTAGCAGTTCTTGTAAGAATTCAGTGCAGTTGCGCAATACAACCTCAGTACTACAACAAACATCGCAACCACTATCAGCTTCTTCCACTTTACGTTCCCGTCCCAAGTGGCCAGCACCACCGCCACCTGTTGTGGGTTATTCAAATTGTAACAGCAATAGCAATAATTGTACTACTAATCATTCGAATCTTTGCAATGATAGCATAGAAGAGATGTCGTCTAGCTTAGAAAATTTGAATAATTTTATTAGTAAAAGTCCATCAGTTGCATCCAGTGATTCGATGGCTGAATATGGCTGTACAACTAATGTTGAAATATGTGATAATTTTGCTTCCCAACAAATGACTCGTTCCTATCACGAAACAACTCGGCCATTACGTCCACCGCCACCACGTAATGTGGGGCGATCGTCTACACCGGATGGAGGATTTCAGACTTTTACTATTGATCCAGTAGAGCATGATAACTCACAAGAGGTTGCTAAAATGTTACAACCTGATCTTCTGCGAAGCCGAAATTCAGTCGAGATTTGTCGTAATGCACCTGTTCCAGTTGCTTGTACAAAAGACAATCGTACTGTGGTACATTTGGATACTGATGCATGTCACCAGCATGCTGGAACACTATCTGGAGCTGAAAGCTATAATACATTGCCTAAACCCCCTTTACCTTATAAACCGAAATCAATAATCGATTTAAACAGACCAAACGAGATCACTAAGCTTTAGTTTTTTATTTTTTTACCGTCACTTTGTTCACAATTTTTATATGCACATGTTGACGTGAAGTAGACCAACAAGTTATTTTCCCTTGGAAACCATCCTACGGTTATAATTTGAAATTGTTCAATTCCTTGAGTAACCTCTTAACTTTTTTTTTGGTGTATTCTATAGATTTATTTACTCAACGTCTAATGTGTTTCTATCCGAATAGTCTTGTTCAGAGTCTAGCGCTGAACTGGCTCAATATTTTGATGTAAAAATGTATAGAAGCAGCTTCCTTATATCACTTCAGTCTTCTCACTCACTGGATTTACATTAAGCATTATTCTCGTTTATAAAATTGGCTTGTTACATATTTATCAGGCAATAATTTGTTTCATAATAGTTTGACCAGTTTCAAAGATATATTACTTCAGGTTAGAACTTTTCCCTGTATTTTTTTGATTACAGGATTTCCCTAAATAATTTTAGGTGTGCATATTCCCACAAACTTTGTAATTTTATGTGCAGAAATTCTACATTGATTTCAACAGTCCTAAATATTCAGCGGTAGTTTTATACTTGTGAAGTCTTCCCACTGAAAAGAAATGATGGTAAGATAGTGATAAACATAGTGGTCATTTGTTTATACTGCTGAAATGAATAGCAAGGGATGCTCTCGGCATTTATCCACTTTTCTTGACGATGGATTGTGACTGCTGGGATGCGTAGTCACTTTGAAATTCAGAGATTTTAATTTAATTTTGAAACCACTCCGCAATCCTTTCCATTGCTAGTTTTGACACGAAAAGTTTGACATTCACTAGGATTATCAGTCCGACAATTCTTCCTCCATTCAAAATTTAACACCTTAAGTAGTTCCAGTTATTTTTTAGGGATATTTTTAATAAAAGCAATTAGTTTTGATGAAATTTATACGGATACTTCCGGTTTGTTCCCAACACTTTATATATAGTGGGGATGGTATCTCATCGTGAAATATTCCTAAAAAGATGCCGGAACATGGTGGAGGGTCAGAAATCACTCTATTGTTTTTTTTTCTTTCCATTCCGCAAACAGTGCGTACTGTCTTGATATCGGTATTCGAATAACGTGTATTGATGGTCTTTAGTTTGTGGTAAAATCTGAAATTTATGTCATTGCTTAAAATGGCTGATCGGTTCATTGTTATCAACTACGAATTTCTGTTGCTTGATGTTCATTTTCTGCATAGCCTCCTGCATGTTGTTGTCTTTTCGAATTTGATTTGTGTGGTGGTATCTGCTGATACTTGTATTTTTGACTGATGTTTACCAATGCATTACTGCTCGTAGTTCTTTCGGGCAGCGTTTTATTGATGCCATCCTTTTCCAATATTTGATTGTTCCACCGTTTGAAGTTTGTGAAGACAGTTGAGCCAGACCAGTTAATGATGGTCGCACTTTCGTTAGAAAAAGAAAAAGGAATGGTTATCTTTGAGCAGATCAGATCATTGTTACCCGGAACACTGGACTTCAGCTTACCGGTCAAAAAGTAGGGAGCTGTTTCAGCATAAATCGTTCCACGAAGTAAGCCATGACTTCGCAAATTGTTTTATCTTTTTTATGACATATAACCTGTTAATCCAAGATTTGTATTATTCGTATTACATACATCATTTTGCTATCCTATAGTTTCATTCTACAAAGGCCTAACACGCCTAACATTGTACGTGCCCAAACACCAACACCCCAGACTACACATTGTTGGTGTGCTTAGATTTATGAAAATAGAAAATATATAAAAATATATTATTTTACTGAGTCTTCATATGGAAAATGAAAATAGGAAAACAGAAAAAGTGGTAAATGAGTACAGGAAAGGGTAGCCAGGATTTTACGTGTAATCAAATGTTGAACCACTGACACAATATTGGGTGGGAGTTAAAATTCCATACCAAAAATGAATGTAATCGGTCGTCAACGTGGTTATTTCTTAAAACAATTCCTGAACAAAGTATAAAATGATAAAATAGCAGAGTCCGTATTGCACGACTGAAAGGAAAAAGATGAACGAATAAATTGCGAGTAGGATCAATCAAAACGTTGCCAACGGTCTCTGGGAACACTGCAGTTAACCGGACTTGGTGGTGAGGAAGTAGCAGATGGCAGTGATGCGAATGGATCAAAATTCAGGAATTGTAGTGAGGAGTGATGTGGGGGAGTATTTGTAAGTTTCGCTGCTGTTCCTGAAGTACAGGGTGGTCGTGCTGGGCCATCAGCTTTATGATTCGATGTTGATGGTAATAAGTTATCGCTAAGATCGATCAGATCCGTTGTTTCTTCAACTACTGATGACGTGGTCTAAAAGGAACATTACAGTTATAACCTCATCAGAATTAATGATTACTCTGTGTTTTAGCCTTGCTACGATTAATCACCATCAAGCAAGGCAATGAAATGCATCAGCTTCATGATGACACAATGAGTTCCTATATAGCCAGTCGTCAAACTATTCCGTTTAACTAAAGCATAACTATTGCCGTGAAAAAATTGTAATAAGACTTGAAAAAAAGAAGTATTTGCTGGATGTGTCTTCTGCTCCAATCTTGTCAGACACTATACATTTGCCATTCAGATTTTTCTTAATTTGAAGCATATTAAAATCATACCTCATCATCAGGTTCCACCTTATTTTCGGTCATCCACTGCTGTGTGTCGAATGAAAGCTTTCCATCATCATAAAAAGGATGTGATTTTCTAGAAGAAACCCGTCGAATTTCTTTTGGGGTTAAACGACCCAAACGCTCTTTCAGCTAAAAATCGCTTAAGATTTCAAAATAAAATTGCCGCTATTCAAATCAATTTCAAGCTGTTGGATTAAATTAAATTCCTTCTAACTATAACTATCAGTTTAACGGGACCTTTAAAACGAAGGACCCTTAAAGAACGCTTTGCTACAGAAACGAAGTGAAGAATTACCGCAATGGAGTGAACTTTATCCTTCAATAGACCAATTACATCATTTGCATTTTCTCGAACCTAAATGTAAAGGAAAATTAATGAGAAACAATAAAGTGACAGTAAAGCATTCTCCCCATGCATAAACAATAAACAGTTGGAGAGGAAATGGAACTATCGCAGTTTTACAGACCAACGATGAATTCATGGGGATTTTGTCACAGAGATTGGGTTTATGATCCATATGTCCAAGAATTCAATTCCTAAAATACCAAAGGGAACTGCCAGGAATGAAAAGCGAAAAATGGAAACAATTTTGCGGATGTGCTCCTACAAGGGCATTAGCCAACATGAACATTTCACAATGGTGATTTGTAAACAATTCCTCTTTCCCGTCTTTTAAACAAATCATGTAAGTAAAAATCACAAATGAATGAAACACTATCACAATTACAGCAACCACAATAGCAGTACTGATAAAAGTCTTACAGAAGTTACTGCATTCTGAAACATTTCTGGATGATTCTGTAACAGTATCAGATTTTCAACCTAGTCAGGACCAAAATAACGCAATAAAGTTTGAGAAGACAAAATGATTGGATAACGAGATTTTTCGAGAATCCAAAATTAGCACATACCAGATGTGATGTCTTCGATGATTTCATTTCATTAACACGAATCTCTTTTTCAAATTCATCGTCAATTGGTGCTCCAGAGTTCAGCGCTGCAATCCTTTCATCGATAAACTGCAAAGAAATTAAACAATAAAAATGGTTAGGATATCTTCACTATTAAGATATGTAATGCAATGAATGAATTGACGATTTTGAAGACCAACATAATGTTCAGGGTATGTTAACAAGTAAAAGCTACACAGTTTTCATATGATCGGACACTCTCACCCGTTCAAGATACTGTACACCATCTTGTCCAAGCAGGGATCGCAAATAAGCCTGAAGACCAGGTTTCTGATTTTGAATAAATTTTTGGCGATCCCATGAAAAAGAATACGATGAGCATGACAATCCTTTATGGTAACCACCAAAAAGAAAAACGTTTGTCCTGAAATATAATCTGCAAAATAATTGAAAAAAAATTATCATGCAGAATTTTCATATTACTAAACTTTCATCTTAACGAATAGCTTTTATCCATCTAATATGCTGCGACCTCTAGTCCACAAATTGCTTATATCAAGTATTATACTAAATCGCTAACCTCAGGAAAGAACGAGCTAATCCATCGGAAAAGAACATATTGGAGGATGAATGTAAATGATGTCGAAGGATATTCAATGCTTCAGCCGGCAAATCAAGTACATCGTTATGAGCACATTGCAGTGTACGTTCCTCCAAATCGATGACCATCACATCGCCGAGTTCAAGCTGTTTCACAGACTAAATTGAAACTTAGAGTAGCTCATTCAAACTTATACAGCATGCGACATATATCTCTGCAAGAAAGCAAGAGACTTTCACAGATTTTAAATGAAAATTTTTTTTTCATCGTTTTTGAAATAAGTATACTGAAAGTTATTAAGCCACAATCTACCGCTCCTTGCAACAATCAACTCAAAACTCTAAATGTGATAAAGTCAAAATGACAAACCTGTAAAGTTTTCTTTGGCACACCTATAAGATACGGCATTGGCGCCCTGAAAATTGATATTAAAAAAAAAACAGGCTTTGTTAAACGATATCAGTTCTAAACGAAGTCTTACCGTTACAAGCAAAAACACTTTCGCAAAAATCTTTACACATTGGAATGTGGTCGAGATGAGGAGTAATATCGAAGCACAGTAATACCGAGCATATTCAAAGAAGTTTAAACAAACCAAAAACAGTGCTGCGTTGACTGACCAAGGTCTTAACCAACAGATAAACTAATTGGAATGAGAAGATTCGTAAAACGTGCCTTTTGAAAATCTTATATATAGCAATATTTACACAATAGAAAAAGAAAAATGAATGGGACGAGCTGGTAGACTAAGGGAACGAAACAAATTACACTACACTTACAATAGAGAATATTGAAAAACAAAGGCAAACGGTGGAAAAATTAGAAGCCAAAGTAATAAACAATAAACTTACATGAGCATATCAACTAGACTAACAGGAAGTACAGGAATGAAAAGGTTTTGCCAATGCATTGGATAAAGCAACGCAGCAGCAGCAAATATACACGATGAAAGTTGACTTAATTTCGGACTCGTAAATAAAATGCGCCGTTCCTTCAATAAGCTGCAAATTAGAAATTTCACACCCGAAAAATATTCCCAAAACTTTTTGAAGTCAACAAAAGTAGAAACTAAAACTAAAAGTAAAGATACTTGCCTCGCATACAGTGCGATCATTTGCTTTTCTGATATGGCGTTGTAAAATTCAAGCATAAATTTATCCTCTTTCAAAGTGGGCAATCTACCGCTATCTGGCACAATTATTTGTAGTTTCTGTAATAAAAAAAGAAAAAAAGTAGATGGACTGAAGCTCGTATCTCCTGAACAGGAGTGAAGTATTAGTTCCTGCAGTGCACGTATCTTATTTTCACTTTTTCTGTTTTTAAAATACTTGGTCATTTTAATAATACATCAATAATGTCGATGACTCAGAAACTCAAGTTCAAACAACTTTTAGTGTGGAATTATTAAATTTTGACCGCTTCACTCATGTTATCATTTTGGAAATTTGAAATTATCATTGAAAATGGAGCAAACAGAGGAGGTCAACACAAGAATAAAGAAAAACAAACATTTACACCAAGACTAGATTCGATACGTAAACTTTCGCCAGGACCAGGAATAGGTGTATGGTAAGCACACGTCAGGAAAGAATCCAATTCATTTGTCTTGAAAATTTTGGAATTTAGAACATGGAATGTTCGGATAATTTCAATTATTACAAAATTTTATCTGATCTCGGCTGCGAAAACGTTTCGGAAATGAAAAGATTTATCAGGGTTTGAAATCTTCACATACCGGTCTGTTGTTCATCACTGCTGATATGTGATTAAGAATTTTGTAGAAAACACTGGCCCATGGAAGACCGCTGCAAAACTTTCATTTAGCAGGTCGTGAAAATCAGAATAATTGAAACAATTTAAATTTTCCAAGCATCAAATTTTCTGAAACGGCAGTGTACAAAATACCTGAAAAATCAGTAAAAGTCATTCACTTCAAAGAATCCGCATCGCGACTTGTCTAGAAATAGTGGGTTAGTCTGGGACTAAACTAAGCAATCAGCAAGGTGACATATACTCATGCTCGCAGTACATTATAAAGAAAACTCAAATCTATAGAAGTACGAGGAAACTAGAAAGATTACAACGAAACCTGATAATGCAAATACATGTATTATTGTGTGGTGTATATCGACAAAAAGCATACGTGTATTGCGATTTTTCATCTGTTAAAACAAATGAAAACAGTTGTACTGCTTCCATGTTATAGCTGCAAAAGCCGTTTTATTTCAAGCATATTATCCTGGGTATTACATTTCGAGATATCAGAATAGTTTGGAAAATGAAATTTAATCTCGTTGAAGTTTTTTTTTTTTATCGTGCCATTTCTCATCTTGCTGCTCAAATGTAATGTATGTTTTTGGAAATCCACAATGAGGAAAAGTGTACGCAAGAGGAAAAATGTAACCAAGATCCTGTAACCAAGATTCTTTTCTTCATCCTGTTTTTTTCAAAACAACACCCGTGATAAATCGAACTTTTTCAAATCTTGAACCAACACCAAACAAATGCGAAATTATGGCAAGACAAATTTTTGTGAGAAAAAAATGAGAAATTTTGCCAAAAACTAACTCATCGACGCCACAAGGAAAGCTAAATTCAGCTATAGACTTCAGTGTTTGTTCATGATTGAAATCATCAGGATATTTCTGAAGGATAACAGCTACCCCACCATCCAACGTTGCTCCAACTTCACAGAATACGTCGAACAGAGTCACTACATCTTTCCTGAAAGTATGCAAGTGGTCAGAACAAATAAACCAATGAAATAGAAAAAATTTCGTTTTCGGGAAATCAATCTACAGAAATTGATGAAAAATACATCCAAATACTAAATTCAAATATTGAAATCTTCAACAAGAAATTTACCTATTCCGCGACATGCCTCATCAAAATACTTAACGAACAATGGCAAACGATGACACCTTGTACATTCAAATAAAATGAAGCTCATTCACAACTATTCAGCTCATAAGACATCACCTAAAATATGCAAACTTATACAGTTTAAATATGGAGATTAATAAATGGCGAAATACGGTTGCTCCATCGAAAGCATTCATTCAAGGAGCTCATGAAGACAAATACTCTTTCGAAATTGAGAAAGCCAAATATGACCCATTTTTAGTCATCAAACAATTGTATTGACATAATGCTTGGTACTAAAAGCACAGTACTCTTAAGAACTGAAAGATTTTGAATGGTGTAAATTCAATAACCCTACTACTTTGCACGAATTCCCAGAAATCTTCCACAATGGAATCCAAATTTTATAAACCTCAGTGTTTCTCTGACAAGTAACAATGGCACTTATCAATACTAGAAGCCAACCTGCTAGTTTCTGGTGGTAACGCAGATATTGCGCACACTTCACCCTGTGCAAATAGGTGTTTTAAAATTGTCGAAACCGTTCATGCAGTCATGAAACAGTAAAAAAAAAAAACTACACCCCATGTTACCTCACTGAATGGAATGAACACGTACATTGTTAGGTCCAAAAGACAAATTTTCAAACGAAATGTTTACTTTCGTGTTGTGTATCAAATATCCAAAATTAACAGTGATAATGAGGATGAAATGCTGACAACTAATTAAATCACATGAAAACAGCAGCCAATAAAGCACAGAAGCTCAAAGCAGCCTAAGAGACAAGAAATTTGGGAAAGGAATAATATTGTGAGCTAGTGCAGAAGCATCTTAAAGTGCAAAAAACGACTGGAAATTTTCAAATAAAATAAAAATAAGGAAATTCGAATACCAAAGAGCGCATAGAGTGTGACTTCTTTTTTTTTGCTTTTCGTTGGCAAAACAAACACAAATGATCGTGCCTTAAGCAATTGAAAGACGGCGTAAGCCTGAGGGTTGGGTAAATAAATATAACTGAGTAGCACACAAGTTCCGAAAACAAAACCAAAATAATACAGGATGTTGAAAATTGAGCGCAAATTAAAGCCTGAATTTTCCAACAAGGAATGATTACATGGAACCAATCCTTCACCTCGACCACTGGCGATATCTGAACCGAAACTTGCTCACAATCGAAAAGATTTTATCCATCATGATAGTGAAGATTTCTACAGAAACTACCCTTGACTAAGCTTTCACCTAACTCAATAAAAAATTGTTACCTCCACAAAGCCAGTGATGTTATCCCAGTAATTCGTAATCATACTGATTCTTCAAAGAACATGTAGTTATCATGAAGCATTTACAGTTTGTTTAAAATGGACTGAATTTCTAAATGATCGCGTCAAAATTTAGTTAAAGCAGTCAAGTGAATAAATTATTTCACAGAAATAGGAAGTTGGAGTGGGTCGGAGCACATTATCTTGCGCTCGCTTTAAAAATCTTTTTATTTTTGTTCTTATCCCTGTACCCTTAAATCCCCTAGATCCTTCCTCATTACTATTTGATTTCATTTCACAATTCTAGAAATTTTGTCATAAATTTAATTCCGAACGAAGGATGAACAAAGAAATGAAGGATTTGAATAAGTTATGAAAACAAAAATGCATCGTACATGCATTCATATGTCGACAAAACAAGTCACACTAAAAGTTTATGTGGAATGTAAACTTCGTCGCGGTATCATGCAATCAAGCACCAAAAGTAAAAGTGACCGAGATGTGATGCATATGAAATCGCTAACCTCCCAAAATCAATTTGGGAAAACCATAATCTAGGGGAACTAAAATATGTTAAGGGTAAAACAGCCGTAATTCCTTACAGCATAAAATGTTGCGAAAACATCACTTATCCGGTTAGTGGCAGTGGCTTGGAATTATTTATTAAAGAAAACGGGAATATATTTAAACCACACTAGTGTTCTGTAATTTTCCTTCTGCTGAATTTGCATTACATCGCCAAGCTTTCCGATACCATACCGTAAAATTCTTATTCTCAGCATGGAGCCAAAAAAGGGATTTCGAATACCGAATTATCAAACTGATAAGAACAATGGCATATGCACAGCAATGCATAACTGTCTTTTATACTTCATACATTTGACCAGTTTAGAGTTTTTCACTTTTTTTTTTTTTTTTTTTTTTGCAGAAACTCTAGACTGTCAACATTCCAACCCCAATCAAAATTAGGAAACGCAATGAATTTCAAACCAAATAAATTATGCCCAAAAGAGGGCACAAAAAAAAAACATCTGATTTGCTGTGCCCACTGTAAAGTAACATAATCATGACGAAGTATGCTGAACGATGATCAGTAAACTAGTAACTTGACGACGAGGTTATTTGCAAGCCATGAATACTTCTGTACACAATAGATTTTTGTTTTTTGCTTTATACATCAGTAACTGTTTGCTGGCACACCCAAAACTGACCCGTGACTTACTCTGAAATTATGTTAAATATAGTTAAATTACACAAGTAGTAACACAATATCCGACTTCATCCATAAAACGACAGTTAAGCGCACCTAAAATACCTCAGATCACTCCAAGTATTTAAGAGCAAAAATTATGGGATAACAGTTTTTCAATAAAAGACTATGATCTCCAACAAATAACGGATTCACTAGCCTTATTCATATTTCACACTGCATCTCTTCAAATCTTAAATAAAACTGAAGTAATTTAATTTGAACTTTGTCCATTGTAACAGAGCTCCGAAAATACAGTTTCACATTAAACATTTTAATAAATCTCAAACACACCCATTCTTTCTCTTTGAATTTCAAAAATAATAAATGTACCTTTACTACTCAATAGTCATTCTTTGCTGCGCTATCTGCTGCCCCTGCGAAGGCTGCATACGTTTGGCAGTTCTATAAAGAATAAAAACGATTCTAGAGCAGTAAAGCATGTCAGAAGATTGCACATAATAAACTGATTTGAGTTTTAAGTTTTCTCAAAATGAAATCAATAGTGAGAGATTATTTCCCTTAGACATCGTGTTCGTTAAAACAATTAAACAATGGAAACTAGGTTAATTTTGGTTCGGTTCAGTTTGGTTTGAATCATAGCTACAAAATACTCTTATAAGGGTGACAAAAAAATTTTAGGAAAAAAAACTGGAAATTTAAGTCTCAACTTCTTACTTGAGCAAATTCCAGTCGAAAACATAATCATAGGTGAAACCCTGTCGATGGAATAAATTTCGGAAAAGTTGACGTAAATGCGAATAATCCGGTTGCTCTTCGAAGCCCAGACATTTGCAATACTTCAGATAAGCAGCAAAAGCTTCTGAAAATGAAAATACGGTAAGTTTTGGAAGAAAAAAGGTAGTGATGCACATAAAAAGATTATGTTGTACTAGGTATTTGCCATTTAATTTACAATTTATGATATATCATCACGTTTCTAGTAAACGATTATTTCAAGAAAAGATGTCAGGAATTCAGTGCATTCGAAGTGGTCGATGCAGGCTGGCTGAAATTCAAACTTGAAATTATCAGTAAACCTAAATATTCAAAGCAAATCAGAGTTAATGTAAAGCAACCAAAGTAACACGGAGACATGCCTGGATATCCGGCACAAAGTTCTTCAACAGGTGTGCTCATTTTTTTCTCCGAGATTTTATCATATTTCTGTCGTTTTGTTGCTGCTTTCAAACCTTGCCAGGGCAAGGTACCACGATTGAAATACATAAGTACATACCCGAGTGATTCAATATCATCCCTTCGACTCTGTTCTATAAAAAATTCAAAGTATAAAAGTCATCCTATCACTTCTCTTCAAGTACCCGTCAAAAACTGCCTTCGATATTACTGCTATTTTTAATTGATCAAGTAACAATAGTCAAGTAACTCTTTCACTCCTATTTCCTAATCATAGTCTGTTCGAGATGGCGATAATAAAGGGCGCAGATGCGCAAAAAGTTAGTTCCACTTTTAAATTTGATAACAAAATACTCATATTCACACCTATTCCAAGATGAGTGTTAACAGATGCATATCTTGCCGTTCCAGTAAGGTTCTTATTTTCTCTATACGGAATATGAGCATGTGTCCTACTACAGCGATATTTCTTCGCAAGTCCAAAATCAATAATCTGAAATGTATTTAAAGGAGGTTTAAGGGAGACAAACTACGCTTCCAGCTATGTTTTAATAGATCAAATCGTTTTATCACAAAGAATAGTATACAGTCCGTCACATATCACGGATACCACTTACACTGCAAACCACTTCGTTTATTCATCACATTCATTAGGTTCAAATTGTCTGATTTCCGCAGATATCTGGCAATACTTTTTCTTGTTTAAAATTTTCGAAAGTATTATTCTGTAGTATTCTAAATGAAACTATGTCCTAGTTAAAGATTTCAGAAGACTGTAACTGTTAAAGGTTTTGGTTATACAACTTGTAATGCGATATATGCCTATGAACATGGAAAAATTAAAAATACTTACATAAACTAAATTGCCTTTCTTGCCTAATCCCATCAAAAAATTGTCAGGTTTGATATCGCGATGAATAAAATCTCTCGAATGGATATATTCGATGCGGGATAGCTGAAAATTAACTCGTTTCGAAACTCAGAACTCTATTTCGAATATCACGATGCCTCATCTGGAATGCTTCTAGGGCTTCTTCATCCTTCAATTTATAGTCCACTTCCTTCGCATATAAGTTATACAACACTTTACACCCAGAAAATTTTCAACATGTAAAAAACTTTTCGTACAAACTAGACTGATCGAAACTCTAGAACATAAGTCTAGTGGTTACTTAGAGCATCGTTTTGTAACTTCAACTAATTGATTAACTTGATTCACAAGGATTTCAGTGTCTGTTATCGGCTCTTCTTAGTGCATTACTTATAACTGTAGGTACAAAAGAAGAAAATATTTTTCCAGAATATGAAATTTCCGGCACCCTTAAACCTAAATTATAATGCATAGAAATTTAAACCACACTATTCTTCGTTAAATGATTACCAAATACAGATTACGTAATTTAAAGTACTGAATCCCAAATATTTCAACAGTCCTACCATTTGATCAGCTAACAGTAATACAGTCTTTAGAGTAAATTTTCGTGAGCAAAAATTAAATAAATCTTCCAAAGATGGTCCCAGTAGCTCCATAACCATAACATTGTATTCACCTTCGTAACCACACCATTTCACCTAAAAAAAAATGTTTTTTCTTTTTTTTTTTAAAGACAACTATATTAATTGCCAACAGCTTTCAAATTTTTTTTTCAAAAATTGAAAGCCATTGTTTTGAACTAGCAAATTCATGCTTATTGCTAAAGTACTACCAGATTCATTTTCCTGAACTAAAATCCATAGTTATATTATCCAATCTACGCAACTGGAATTAATTAGACGTGTCATGAGAACTCTGCACACACAATCCAAAGTTCTGCTTACAAAATATGGTGTCACTAATACGAATTTGGTTAAAGAGCTTGAGTTCAGCCATATCAAGAATAAAAAGGCTACCAAACAAAACAACTATTTTGATTTATGCAAATTAGTCTGCAGCAAAAAGTCAATTGAGCTACGGATGGGTTATAGCGAATAATACTTACTTGGGGAATACCTATTCCTCCACTCATCAGTTTATATAATCTAGCTTCGATGTGTAACTGTGGATGCTTGGTTTTCACACATTCCAACTTGATTGCTACCTCTTCCTGTGTTACGATATTCTGGCCTGTAAAACAGTAGACAACTCAATTAAATAAATCCAAAAAAGAAAAAAAAATGGAAGTGACGACGAAATTGACTTATTCTGTTTCTATCAGTCAAATAAGAGAGATCTATGAAATGACAGAACCATGCTCTTCATCATTTCGTATTTCTTAAATTTATTTCCAGTCTTAGTCATGAATACTTTTACGATTTACAATATTCTTAAAGCTCTTGAACTTTAAGAATATCGATATTTTCAAAGAAAATTCTGAATAAAATTCATTACCCAAATAGATGTCACCAAATGAACCGCTGCCAATTTTGCGACCAAGTCGAAAACGACCACCAACCCTAAGCTCCATAAATACTGCAAATATATGAGTATGTTATTACGGAATGTAGAAGGAAAAAGAGATTGGCTTCTACATTCAGAAATGTCCTTGCATCGGGTCATACTTCCAAGTAAGGTATCAGTCATGCTATTTCGGGAATCTCGGGATGTTAAGCTAAGAGAACTCGGAAGAGTAGCAATGCCTAACTGCATGTATGCGTAAAGGATGAAGCAAAAACAACGATAACGTCCCAAATAGAAATCCTGGAAAAGCACGTTACTTGGCTGGAATTATGGGTCGGAATAGCCGGAAACCTAGTAATCACTCGGAAAACCGTATTCGAAATAACAATGCTATTAGTCCCTAATAAAAGCTACAGGCTAACCCACGAACGACATCAAACCCACACTTCCACCCACCCTCACACTGTCAAACCAGTGCAAACCAATCAACCACCTTTGACGATGTAGCTTGTGAAAAATTTGTCATTGGTATAGTTCAGGATAGTTGCGCAGTTCTCTAACGGAATGGAAGTCGTCGAAATTAGTGTGTAAATTCTGTAACTGAGGCAATTGCTTTCTCGCGGGAAAACCACCTATTGAATAGGTGGGAATAAAGGAACATTTGGTATCCATGAAGTGATTGGATATATTGTTATAATTACACTGTCTGATTGAAGCTACATATTAAATTACCAACTTTTTTGGCAGGAGAACAAACGTACCCGAAAAATCGGCAGGCTTAACTGATAACGTTTGGTGCTTACTTTCAATTGGTGGCGCATTTGTGGCGAACGTTGATGCACCGTAAAGCCGATGTTGCTTTTCTGATCTCAAATGTGTTAGTGATGAAGTACGACGGGACATATTTCCAAAAACTGCAAACGAAAAGGAAAAAATGTAAGCGTAAGTGAAAAAGGCAATGCAGTATACTGGCCAGTAAAAGTCAAGTAGTCGTGACATCATTAACCTGGTTAGAATGTGTCGACTGCACCAGACTTATGGTAACTCTGACAATATCATTAGAAAGTTAGATACATTGCATTTTATATTTTGCATATCGGACAAATCTGCTATTATGTCCACTACCACGGAATCCACGGTCGTTTTTGCATATTTAAATTACTATCCGCTTTCAAAATAAGTCACTGAAAGTTAGAAATAGGCGCATTACAACAGACACGATTCAATTGTACTATTTTGCTTGCCTTCGTTCAGTTGTCTGAGGTCACTGGAAATTTGGATCATGAGCCGATTTACGTCGTCAGATCGCCATCATATGTTTCAGGATGTAGATCGTTGTGACCCCTTAACTTCGTTTTCTCGACACTGTACTGCCCCCGCACCTGTCGATGAACGAACTGTACCGGATACCCCGAGGAATTTTAAAGTGGAATCTCTTTTCGACTATTCTTTGCTGCAAAATAGTTACAATCGAAAAAAAATTATTCAGTTGGATGGAATCGCACCGATAATTGAAGGCTTGTTTTTTTATTATTGAAGCAATAGATGATATTGAAATATCCTTCAGGATTTAATTTCAACAACTTTCAAAATAGGCAGTCACCTTAAAATTGCACTGTAGATTGTACTTTGATTGACTCCATAGATACTGCAGATGAGGATGAACCATATTTCAAAGGAGACGCATGCAAGCTGGAGCACCGTCGACGAACCCAAGGTACACTGATAGAAGCTAGCTATTCTATGGAAGTTCCAATTGCACTAACCCGTTATTTGCGCCCAAATTTACAGTTTGATATTGTTACCACCAAGACTTTCCTTGCGATGCTTTGCAGGTAGGTATCTCAAACTTGTGTTGCATATCTTTCTCTTTATCTTAATACCTCCCTACTTCCCACCTCATATAATAAGCTGAAATTTCGTCATTCTGAGTCTTGTAAATACCTTCTTATTTCTTTAAACAGTGTTTCGCATAGTTATGGAAACTGTTGCAGGGAATTATCTTATGAGTAATTCTAGGCTGTTCCCCTTCCCTGACTTCTCTGCTACCTATTGTCCTTTTATTCTTCCCTTTGGAAATGGATTAGCGTTAATGACAAATTCATTTGGGTTCGCCAAAAGATACCATGGAAGAACTGTTTGGGGAAATAACTCGAGAAAATTTCTCTATATATATCGATGATTCGCTAGGTCATATTAGTAACAGTATGGCAGCTCGTTTTTTTTTCTTTTTTTGTAAATTTTTAAATCATGTTTGTAGATTCATTGACAATGAGCGTCGCTTTTATCGATTTAATATCGAACGCATTGGAGATTTGACAATCGTCGAGGAAGCGCCTTACGGCGATGCACGCCCTTCCAAAACCTACCTTCAAGGAGCTCTGGACATTTTAACTGGCCGGTAGGTTGTATTTTAAAAATTCAAAAATGAAGTTTAAATGGAGCCACAGGTGAGAATAAAAAAAAGAATAAGTAGACATTCTTCTAGTAAGTATTTTTAAATTTCAAAAATTCTACTAAGTAGGAATCTCTGTCCTTGTATCTGTTTCTGAAATGGTGAGAGCTTCACTTAAAACAGTCAAGCTTCATCAATGATTTGAATTGTGAATTATGCATAAAACAGCAATTTGAAAATTAGAAATGACGATGAATCAAGTTCAAAAGTTCTAAAGTGGTATTCAAGAGCAAGTATGGATTATCGACAAATAGCAGTGTGTGAATTTGGTACAAAGCGTATCCTATTGCGACAACATGTTGATTTAGCGGAGCCTTCATCGTTTGGACGAATTCGCACACATGGCCGTTGGCAGCGAAGTAATTAGTTGATCTGTCATACGGAACTTTTGGGATAGCTTAAGAGGATAAAGAATCGAATGTCGTATTCAGAAATAATCGAAGAAAGAATTTTTCAGAAAGATTTAGGATAAAAACACCATTTTCTAAGTATTTTGCAGGTAGAATAGTTTCCATTTACTTCCTCTCATCTCTTTTTCCCTCTATAACCCTTTCGGTACTTCTTTTTGGTATACTTCATTTCTGAGGCACCTCTGCAACCTCAGCTTTCTGAGACTGAACGAGAAAGCATTTTTGCTTCTTGCATATTTTAGACTATATTCGCCAGTATCCTAAACAGCCGTTCCTTCCGATACTGAAGGATACAATTGCATCCATGTCAAAATTCCAAGTATTCCTTGATCAACCGGATCCCACTTTTCACATCGATGGTACCAATGTCTCAATTCGGGGTCCAGTCTTGTATGCATTTTTTCATTCATATAAGGAAAATGGTCTAAAATGCATTGTTCCAAAATAAATTTATTGAAAAGGGAAATGCAACTCTGATTATAGGCCAGAACCACCAAAAAAGCCAATCGAAATAATGTGTCGATCGTTCCAACGTTTCTCGGTATCTACTTCATTTTAATATTTTACCAAATTATTGCATTCAAATTATGAATTAAGAATGGAGAATCTTAATTGTAAGTATTTGAATAAAATCTGATGGATTGATTTCAATGGAACTGTGCGATGTAAATATTTGGATCATTGGAACTTCAAATTTTGTAGGATTTCTGATGATCTTTCGTTCTAGTTTGAGAACCTTCAAATGAAATGGCCAAATATGATTTTTTCTGGTGCTGACCGTATCGTTAGTGTTCTGCACGTTCGAGGACTGATTGATCACAAACCAAAGAGTTTCAGTTTCCGTGACATAGCACCTAAAGGTTACTAAGGAACTTTCAACTTGATTACTGCTCGTTTCTTTTCTTTTTACTTCCAAGAAATCATTGCTTATCAAATTCTGTGGAACACTTCACAAATCAAACAAATGTTGGAACTGAAGTAACCAGATCACTGAAATTAATTAATGGAACGGTGAAGGACATTAAGATGATGAGGCGGTGAGTAACTGGATAGTAGAAATAGCATGGTCATCACGAAATTTCACCCCTATACTACTTATATTTACAAAAAATGCTATTCAACATTTTCGAATCAGGGTATAAGAACACGATGGCACGAGCATCGGCACTTTGTCGACAAATCTTTGATTACATAGAGGCGATTGACTGTGATAAGTTAGCTCTGATTTGGTATGTTTCAGATTTTTTAAAATGTAGGATGCTGGAATTTGCGCTTTGACCACCAAAAAACTGATAAGCACACTTTTTTTACTGTTAAATTTCTTTGCTACTTTGCAGATTTCATCATTCGAATGCTGAAATGACAAGGGAATCAACGGAATTAAATTTTTCGTTTAGGGTGAATGACAAAAAGCTCCCAATGGATATCAATGATGGTAACCACTTGGTTTTATATCGTCGTCTCTTGACTGGCAGAGCATTGGATGATAGCTCATTCGTCTCGCCACTGCTTCGCACTTCAATCCTTCGGGCAGAGTAATGGAAAAAAAAAAACTTTTAGCGAAGTCAGATTTCTGTTACTAACATGCAGTCACATTATTATTGTTCAATTAAAAATAAAGGACCTTTATTTTATTCAGTTAACGTTGAATTCCAAAATTATGTTAAAGTGTAACGATGTCAGCGACAAAACTGACTTTGATGAAGCAAGCTAAAATGAAGCGAAAAAAAAAAATTACATCCTGTAATTACATCCCAATTACATCCTGTAATTGCCATGTAATTGGGTGGAACGAAGGACTAAGAATTACCTATCCGAAATGTTTCATTTTATATTTCACTATATTTGATTTAAAACACCATGGCGCCACTGATTATATTTCACTACATAGTGTGCAAAGACGTCTCTTAATTTATGTGTTATGTTATAAGAATAACTGGAACAATGAGAACTTTTCTGTTTCACGTGTATTTCTGTTCAGTATTGCAATTATATTTTGTGTTTGCAGGCTCCCAGGAACTGAAAAAGAAGAGAAATTACATTAATTGTTTTGATTGAGTTAAAAGCTTCTACTAATTCTTCTACACTTTTCGGAGAAGCTAAAAATGAGAATCCATATCAAAGAACTTTTAAATAATACCTTGCAAATGTCATGCTGATTCAAGTAGATAACTGTCCAGGCCAAAAATTTCGGCATATAAGTCATGGTCAAGTTTTCGCACTAAATTAAAGAAGGATTTTAATCATTTTAGTGATAGAGAAACCCTGTTAAATTTTGTATTTTCGCAAAGGAATATTTGAGTTGTTTTGAGATTGTGCACATGGTTTTTTTTGTGATTTGTCTTTGAAAACAGTAAAATTACCTTTGTAAAATTAATCGAATACAAAAGAAGATTGGATGTGGAAGTGAAGTCATCAACAAAGGCAATTTTATGTACTTAGTATCCAAATGTCCATCATTTCTTTATTAATGTATAGAAGTCTTCAAGTAATGTCATTTTTAATAGAAAAACTCACAAGATTTTTTTCA